TTAGTCCATGGTAGCTACTGCTGGTAACTACGGAGGACTCCGGACTCATAAATGCCACAAAAGGCCAGCATGTGCCGGTTTGTTGTAAAATACCATTATAGAATATCATGTACAACCACAACTTCGCGATACCAGCTTTGTATTCCTGTAGTTAAGCATATTTTATTATTTTTATTCCTGTTGTTAAGCATATTTTATTATTTTTTATTCGCCCGCGCGCACAAGTCTGGGGGTCTTCAGAGGATGTCATCCATAAAATTAAGCCAGTGTGGCCCTACTAGTAGCACCAAATGCGTGCTGACCCGAACATGACGCGGCACGCGGGTCGGAACGCGCGCACATTCTGACGGGGAAGGTCAAGTGGGGACGGGGAGGGGGCGGGGCGTGTGCCGTGACGTCATACATGCCTGGTGACGTCGGTGTGACTTTGAGTCCCAACAACAGCAGGGATAGGGGAGGGGACACTAACTTGATAAGCTACCACGAATTAGCCTCTACCAGGCTTCAGAAGGGGACTGGAAAGAGAAGAAATTGACCAAATAGAAATAGAGAGATAACATGCCACGGTAGTCGGTCCGGCGTTAGAGAATACAGTTTGTCGCACCCGAACTGTTCACTCTAGCGGACCAACTTCCCCGGCATGTTATCTCTCTGTTTGGTCAATTTCTACTCTTTCCTGCCGCCTCCCGAAGCCTGGTAGAGGCTAACCATGAATTACATCACCTATAAACGGCGTTTCTCGCTATTTCTTACTGTTTTGTGGCGTTACTTCTTTATGTTTACTATATGCCTCTAACGTTTTCTTTTGAATCAACCACTTTTCGTAATTTGCACACGTACATATATATACATACACATATATACGGAGTGGGGGCGTGGCACATATCTTCTTGGTCTATCGCTTAACTGTTCAAGAAAATTCTGTGTAGTGGAAACTTGCATTTTTCTTACAGCATGTTCTTTACTAGTATTTCTGAACGTTTTACTTTTCCCGTACTTTCTCCTGTCAAATTCATGTTTACAAACACTACAGTCTGTTCCAAGTCAATCCTTGACACACTACAAGAGGAAGAAAAACAGTACATATAGGCTAACCTTCTAAGTTGGTGTTACTTGATATCGTCCACTCAACATCAATATCCTGTAGCCGTCAGAAGAACACAGCTGCGAATGTAGATTTACAGTGATAGCTGAAAAACGTTCTTAAGGGGATCGAAAAGGAGACCGTGGGACTCAGTTGTCATAAATTGTGAAGTCTTAGCGATGCGAGATGGATCCAAGGAGGCATGATACAGGTATGTGTATATGTAGATTTAAAATTGCATACAATTATGTACGCGCACGCACACGCACACGCACACACATGCACACACATGCACGAGCACACACATGCACACATGCGCGCACACACATGCATACATACATACATACATACATACATACATACATACACATAAATATGCACACACGTACACATACACACGCGCGCACAAGCACACGCATGCACACACGCGCTCACACACATGCATACATACATACATACATACATACATACATACACACATACATTCATACATACACATAAATATACACACACGTACACATACACGCTCGCGCACACACACACGCACACACACACACACACACACACACACATGCCACACATGCACACACACGCGCACACACATGCATAACGTTACATACATTGTACATACACAGTGCACACACATTCGAATCCATGCTTGCATGTGTGTATACAATGTGGCATAATATCTACCTTTCTCCTAATATTTTCATTTTTCCCGAGAAATGATAATTCGTATGCATGATATATTCTCTGTGTGCTCAACTGTAACAACGTATCATATTGTACATATCATAAGATTTAGGTATGAATTGATCTGCGGTTTTCTTCTCGACATCGGAAAGACGTCATCAGCGCTAATCAAAAGACACGTGTTCGATTCATGCCTCTACATGTACATGTAATAACCCCATTAGAAGTCAAACCTCTGGGCACAAGACAAAGCTACAGCCTTTTTGATCAACGTGTTTGAAGATATCAGAGGTAGGCTTCGGGCCAGAAATTGAGAGAGATACGTCGGTGAAGGTTAGACATCCAGGTAAAAAGATACGCCAAAAAAACAGTTACTCAAGCAACTGGTTACGATTCTGGAATCAGTTGCTTCAGTAACTGTTTCAAGTTCGGCGTAAAAAGAGAGATAACATGCCGACGGAGTTGGTCCGCTAGAGAGTACTAGTACATTTTGCCGTACTACTCTTTCCAGTCGGCCCGAAGCCTGGTAGAGGCTTCATCAGAGGTATAGACATTTCCAATGATTTTCACCAAAGCGGTCTGCACAGTTTGCTTGAACAAACCAGCAACCTATTACTTAGGGTTCACTTTTCTTGTGTACATGTCCAGAAATATTTTTGATTTTGACCCAAGCCTATATTGTAGAAACATGACGATTTACATTTGACTGAACGTTTGAAGCTACCTAAACCATTCAGTTTCACAATAATGCATGATCTACTTTTTTTTACATGTTACATGTATATCATATCTTTGTGTTTCAGAACGCCTGTTGTTTTGTAATTTGTCATAGATTGTATAATTTTTTTCAGTAGTGAGGCTAAAATAAGCAATCGCTAGAGCGCTCAGTGCTCGTGTATTTTTTTATGTTGTTGAATTAAAAAAAAAAGGTCCATTTCTGTCGCCCGCAAAGTCTTGAATGCTGCTGTCATCGCGTGCTTTCCTTCATAAACAAGAAGTCTTCAAACAAGGAACTACAACAGCAACATCGTTGCTATCAACAAGGTCTTCTCGGATTTCCGTGCTACTTGCTATGAACTTGTACAAATGTAGGTGTTCCCTAGGACTGGAAATTAATGCGTTTTCGACAGTTTCTGTGGAAGTTGATGATATCATTATGATATCCTTCGCCAAGGAGGATATGTGCGGTAGCGTTTGTATATGTATGTATGTATGTGTGTATGTATGTATGTATGTATGTGTGGTTTAGCACGATAACTCAAGACGTTTTGGATGGATCGTTAATAAACTGTAATCTCCGAGGAGACAGGAGTTTAAATCCCTCCTGCTACAAAATTGCAACATAATGTAACTCAACACCAGTTACCATGGTGACAGACGTCTGGTTCAGAACATTGACCTTATTTGCTTGGACTTGGAGAAGAAGAAGAGTAAGAAACTGAGCAAAAACAATGTTTTCCTTCGGTAAACATGAAGAATCGTTATCAACCTTGCCAGACTTATTTTGGTTCCAATTAAGGGTTTATCCGGACACGAAGACTCGGATTCACTTCGCCACAGGTTCTTTATGTTTAAGTCCCTTATTTCCGCACTTCAGACAACTTCCAGTGCATATCAAGACGGGAAGAAGCGTTCACAGTGCGCTTAGAACCATTGAAGTGCCCATCTGGTAGTTTGAAACTTGGGACCGTTCCAAGAAGTGGTGAGAAAGTGAAGAATCGCGCAAGACGGTCCACGGAGGCATTGTATGGAACTTGGCGCCAATGTGACGTCTTCAGTGCACTGTGGTCCTCTAGCTAGAGACACCCAGTTCACTTAATGAATAATTGCCCAACTAGATTGTCCATTTTCAGAGAGGACGAAAGAGATTCGGCAGCTAAACTAGGTTTGGTAACTTCCCAAAACCCACATATTTTGGAAAAGGTGGGACATTACGTCTTCCATGGTTTACAGAAGAGAATTCAAACCCTTCAGACATGGTTTTAGACATAGTTATAGTTTTAGACAACTACCTATCTTAATGTAGATTTTAGTTATTCAGTATACTCTGTTTTAATGTTTTTTTTTATGTTTGTAATTTGCAATTAGCCTCCGGGCATGAATTTGCAATAAACTTCTTTTATAGGTAACCAGGCTAAACAACATCAACAACAGCATTAACAGTTATGATGCAAATTCACACCTGAAAGCTACTTCCAAGTGGAGAAAAGGGGTGGATAAACCCAATAGATAACACTGTATGAGAAAAAAAACAAGCAAGCAAACAAACAAACAAACAAACAACCAAAGAAACATGCATACGGATAAATAAACATTGAAATATAATAATCTAACTTCTGCTAGTCTAACCCGGGGCTTGACTCCCAGAAGACAGTGCCACTGAGAATGGTGTGACCCAACAACAACAACAGACTGACGTCAACTTTGACCTTGACCCTCAAGTATCGCATTTCCTACTTTGTGACGAAGTTGAGAATCTTGAGTTTACCGTGAAATTGGGGAGTGAAGTTCAGTAAATGGGCTACTAAGACACACATTGGACTTTCTCCAGGGTTTATGTATATATCCTCCGTCTATCCTTCGCTTCTAGTCAAGTTCCAGACGAGGAAATAGGGCACTAGGAACACTTCCGTTGAGCACTTTCAATGATTCACATCGCATGAAACATTCGTCTGGCGAAACTTCGCCTTCATATAAACAGTCGTGACTTCTTTAAATACACTATAAAATTCCCGTGTCAATTTTTTTGTTTATATAACGTTACATATCTTAATTGTTTAACCAAGTTTGAATGTGCCCCTGTTTGTATTACTATTGTCGACTAATTAATATGATACGATGAACAAAATTACATTTTGCTCACACGATAAGATGTAAGACATATGGAGCTATATGGCTTCCTAAGAAGCTCATATAATGATTTTAGTACACTGTGAACTTTACTTTTACGGGTTCGAAATATTTTAATTCAGTTTTCCGCAACATGCGATTCATTCTATTGAGTTTGTATTCTTCTAGCCTGCCTAATGGCGAGCTGTTTGCATTTTTTCTGCCATCTTGAAAGGTTTTCTACAAATTACTGAGCACAATTCGGTATTTGGAACATTGTTTTAGTAATGACAAGCCTGTCTCTGGAATGATGTTAGAGTTTTGACATTTCTATACAGGTCGGAATGAGGACTGCGGTGGGAGTGAATAAATTATTATGTCCGGTCACGTGACGGCCGGGCGACCAATCAGCGCCGTTCGACTGCGCAGCGCCTCATCTTGTCGCCATTATTGAGGTTTTTGTGGAGGTTGAAAGCTTGTGAGCATTTTTACCAGGATTTAGGGCCCAAATTGTGCGGATTTAGGCCCAAATTTCGCGCCGCAGGCCCTCGGAATATCCGTCGGAGTAGGGTGTAGCCATGTGCGGAACATGAGCGCTACAAACTCCGTGCCGAACGGTTGTAGTCTGGAGGATTGCCATTCAAATGTGTTTGCTCTGGTAAGTGAGAGAAGTTATTTGTGTGGCACATCGATTTTTTTGCTTGCGACCTCGTCCATAGTTTGGGTAAATAGCACCTTCTCTCCCATAATTTGTGGGGAAAGCTCTGGGTGGCTTGTATCTCACCCCTGGCGGGCTACACATCGCTTCTGGTGCCTGAGAGGGGCGACGTAAAAGACCCGGGTCAGGGTTTATCGACTCTTTCTCTTTGCAGTGGCCTTGGGAGGCCCAAATAACCGGCGGTGGGGAGGGCGCAAAACTGTTTCATTTCACAAATATTTTCACTCGCCGTGTGGTTCTTGCCCACTGATGATCGGAAAATGCCGATTTTGTGTCTTTTTCACCAGACTGACCTGACAGGTATCAAATGGCGTAGGCTACGCGCCCCGTGCCCTGCGGGTGTGGGGCCCCTGGAGGACCCCATCCTCTCCTCCTTCGCCAAGTGTCTCGCCGCCGACGTCTTCTGCGTGTGGCGCCGTCTCAGCCCCAGCACCGCCCCGAAGTTCCCGGGAGACAGCTTCCAGGGCGAACCATCGACTCCAACCCCGAAACAAGAGCGGGAGCTGTGGATATTCTGGTACGGGGACGATCCCGACTTAACGGACGTGTTACACCCCGAGCTGAAAGGTACGTCACCCCCCAGGGGCCCCTTCAAATGTATCAACCTTCCATACATGTTAGTTGTTACGCTTCGCTTTCCCCTGTCACACCGTTACGTTACGGCGAAAAACTCCACATAGCTGCAGCCCGTACAGGAACCGTCCACTGCGAAAATATTTCCCCTGCAATGCAAGATTAATGAAACGGCGGGCATGCGAGAGCAGATTTTCTGGTGTAGGCCGTGTAGATCCACGTCCATGCTTGATCGCACGTTTGTGTAATCAGTAGGGGGGCCTGGTGCTACCAAAAGGGCAACATTTGAACGCTTTTAGGTCACAATCGAGCAGCTAGGCTGGCTAGATCTGCCAAATAATATCACCCTGCAAGCCTAGAGGGGCCAGATAAAATCCTGTGGCATATTAGTAACGTGTGAAATGGTCAGATTCAGGTGAAACACAGACATGGGTGGCGACATCCTTTCAGGCTTTATCCCTCCCATCTGTTAAGCAAATAATAGCACGCAATTGACAGCCCAGGTGTAGGTTTCACTCCTGGCATCTGAGTATGGCTTGAGGGTGCCTCTTAAACAGTAATAACACTGGACTTGAAATCAATTTTTTGTGTATTTTCTACAAATTGTTTGTGATATGTGATACCAAATTGAGTTGTTTTTAGCTCAGCAAATTCCAAGTTGCTCAATTTTTTTCTGCAGTCTCAATTTTTTTCTCGTGGTTATTTCAAACCTTGCAACAGCACACTAAGGAGGTAATATATATGGAATCTCCTAGGGAAAAATTGGTATCAAATCTGGAACAACATTTTCTTTTGGAGCCTGCGTCCATCATTAATTGACGATTATGCCTGGGGCGAGGAATTGGCTGAATGGATTGTGGTCTGTTGGCAGCAATTTGCATGTTGCAGGTCAACCTTTGTAATCTGGCCCTAACATGATTTTATGTGATTCATATGAAGTGGTCTTTTGCATTACAAGCTTCCAGGACCGTATACATGTGTGTTTTGATTGATTAACTTCTTGTGTAGTTATTTTCTTTTGACAATCTCTTCAGGAAGCTCTAACGCCCCTGTTTAATAATGCCCCATGTTGTGGTCTTGCCATTGTACCGAAAGTGCCCCCAAACGTACCCATTTATAAAATCTGTCATGCCTGTTCTTGTCCTAGCCACTTCAGCCTGCAAATGCCCAGGCCCCAAATCATTCCGACGACTCCACATATCAAAGGATTTAGCGCAAATTTGGGGAATTTATCTTTCTTTAGCCGGTGGGGCTTGACAGAAATTTTTCGCTACCTGCAGCTATGTTTTGAAAAGTGATTTGGGCAGGCATTATGGACGTAATGCGTTTGGCTTAGGTTTCGCAGTCAGCGACAATCAGAGTGGTTTCTCCTGGATACATCCAGACATTGTTTATTCATTTTCTGTCACTCCTAACATCAATATCCCAGCACAAGTGGTTTGAGTGTGTCTGGTTTTTTAATGCAAACTTGTCTTCCCCCCCCTCCCTCTCTCAGATGTGGAACAGGGGTCCTGGGAGAAGGAGTTATCCTACGAGTGTCGGACCTTACTTTTCAAAGCCTTGCACAATCTCTTGGAGAGGTAAGGAAAACCGCTTACTTTCAAGTACAGTCCTCAAGAAATAATCAGTTGACCCCTGAGTACTGTTGATTGTTGACATATTTCATGTAATGCTACTGTCGCCAGTGTTGTTATAGATACCGAAAAAATATAAGCATACTGATTAGTGTAATTATGCCAACTGTTTTGTGAATACATAATATTATTGTATATTTTAGCTGGTGTTGAGCTCCTTACTACATTAAGCGTTTGTGTTAATTATATTTCCTTAATGCTATTTCCTATAATTAAGACTGGCATATTGTTTGCCTTTTTTTCGTTATTTCATTGTTATGAATGCTATATTTTCTTGTATAACATTGAAGACAAGTTTTGAATGATTTCTTTTCAAATGTACATGGCCTCGGGTCATGTTTAGTTTGGAGACCCAGTGGTGTCTGAAAAAAAATTACTTTTGGGACTGTGCCATATTGTGATGTGGCATGCAAATTATAGTGTGTCGACAGAAACAGATTTTAAGGTTGAACAAAATTTGGGGCACTTGATTTTTTTTCATGCATTCGTTTACAGTATAAAGAAATGATAGTGGGAATTATGACATGTTCCTGCATATGCTTGTTTTGGGAACAATTTAATACAGGCAAATCCAATTTGATAAGAAAAGGGTAGGTGTGTTAACACTTGATACCAGCATGCCAGGCGGCAGTTGTCATTTCAAGCCATTTGCAGGCTTCCCGGTGTGATAAGAGATTATTTATCGAGTGGAATCAATTCAATTCTGTACACACAAAGTATTTATGTGGTAGCTTAGCCAGGCTGCTAAGTGTATCATTGGTGATTTTTCTTGTGGCATGTTTCAGACGGGGAAATAACATAACTGACAGTATGTGCCACCAGATTAAATTGAAATTCAATTACTCACAAATTTTTGCATGAGTAAAAATACATAATGGTATTAGGGAGGACCATATGTACACCACTGCACGCTGCCTATATTAGCAACCCAAGCCAAAAATCGTCAGAACAATTTTCAACCAACAATATAGGCTTATGTGGGATATATTTCACATATTATCTTGATTTGGGAAGAATAGGATTTTTTTTTTGCAGTGTATACGAAATGTTCAAATTTTGAGGAGTATTAAAATTTGTGTGTGATTTTTAGGCACACTTGTAGGTGGTTGTGGTACAGTTGACCAATGTTCATGGTTTTGTTGAGGTCAAAATCGGGGCTTAATTAGAAGTCAAAGCTGTTGAGAGGTAATCTTGGACTGAGCACCCGCGTGCATATCATCACAACGCGCGATGAATTATTTATCCCTTAATGCTGTATGATGGTGCCGTGATACGATTCATCATTACGATAGTACGTCCGGACTAACGCCCCCACCTGCCGAGGCGGAAAATGTCATCGCCAGCGTTTATTTTGTCAGCACCCATTGCTTTCCTCAAGTGGCTTCCTGGCTTTTTATCTTCGTAACATGTCTCTACTCTTGCAGAAATGTCTCAAAAATTGTGACATGTAAATTAAGTCTTCTATAAATTACAGAACTCGTTACGAAAATTTTTCTACAGGAATTTCTTGAATGCGAAACACTTAAATTGGCAGCCTTACGTTAAAAATTAGCCTGACAATTTCATCACAAAACTACCCAAATATGTAGAATACGTAAAGCAGCTATGATTTAGGTGAAATATTTTTACTGTTACCTGTCCCCAGAAATCATGTTGAAATTATTGGGTATTTGGAATGAAAATCAGATGGAAATGGAATTAATATCCTCTGGCAAATAGTTTCACACAGACCAATTCCTAGTTGACCCATATTTCAATGTCTGAACTGTTGTTGAGTGCTGTATTATCAGGTTCTAAATATATAATCCAAACATCCTCAACTGGCAAAGTCTTCCTGTCTACTAAGGAAGTCTACTCTAAAATAAGTGTTGTGTTAAACCATAGTGTTGTATTTGTAAACAACAAAAGTAGGATGTAACTGTTTAGTATTGTGGTTTTTGTTGTAAATTATTTGTCAAAACAGTTACTGTTGCATGGAATTGACATGTGAGGCAAATTTGTGTTGGAAAGAATTTTTCTTCAACTAGAAATATTGGTATTATTAAGAAATTTAGTGTATCAGAAGTATGTGAAAAATTAACAAATGTACATGTATGAGAAACATGTGTACACATGTACATGTGTAGTTTCTAAAACCCCACCGAACACAGACCATTGATTTAACTCACTCACTCACTCACTCAGCTGATTTAACAACAAAGCTATAAGATTAAGAACAATACGACAATGCACAAGTGGACACATTTCTGTGAATTTTAACCCGCTCCCAACCACAAATCATAACTATGAAGTAATTACGGATACATAATATTGGCAGCGTGAATATCCCCCCTGTCTGATCTGATATGGATAAGTGATTATTTGGGCTGATATACCATGTTATTGTAATTTCTACTCTACAGGGTAATACGTAACTGTCACTGAGAGGTACATTAATATATTGATGTGTTTTCCCCAGGTTGTAGTGTAGGCAGGCTCTAGGCTATAGATATCGTTTATGCAGGTGAAGAAATTCCTCCGAGACCGGGCAAATTTTGACAATGTGCATAGTTCTCACCAGGCTGTTTGAGCGTAGGGGCCCCCTACGCTGTGATTTTGACCCCCTACGCTGTGATTTAGCCCCCTACACTGTGTTTCAACCAGTGTAGGGGTGGTTTTGGGGGGCAGAAGCTTCATTAATCTTTAAAAAAATGAAAATATAACTTAAGAATGAAGCTATAACAGAGGGAAAACAAAATCTGTCCCCCAATAAACAATAAATAGTGTCTTAAGTGGTTAATATGAGTTACAAAATTTTTGGGGGAGAATATCAGACCCATGTTTTGGGGACTCGGTGCGCGACTCGCGCTGCAGAAAGTTGCCCTCCTATACCTGACCCCTACGCTGTGAAAAAATCCTGCTGAGAACCCTGATGTGGCCCTTGGCAAACCAGCAAATTAAGCCTGTTCTCCATGTATATGTGGTTACTGCGATGTCAGAGACTCGAAATCAACCCTGTACCCTCAAGAGTCGAAACAGGAAAAGAAGTAGTTTTGGAGAAATGTCCCAAGGCTGTGACTTCCTAGAAAGAGAGGATCAATAAGGGGTTTCACATGGTGTTTTTTTTTTCAGAGCTAAATGTAGCGAATGACTCCTTCCTGGAAACCCCCAGGGTGAGAGTACACAATACCTGTAATTTGATTGGAGGGTGTTTTACCTGTTTTCACAAATGACGCCATTGCACGCGCACATGAGAGGTCGCGCCGCGGGTCATGTTTATCCATTGTGTGTTTTTGGTTTGGTTTGACAGCGAACTGTGTTGTTTTCTTCCCCCCCTTTCCCCTTCTGTGCAGATACTTGCTGTCTGCGGACTTTGTACGGTTGGGGAGGTGGTTCGTGCGGCCGTACATTCAAGGCACCGACAAGAACGACAAATGGTAAGTACATAGCTCCTTACAACATGTCATTTTTCACGCGCTAATATGCTAAAAGCTTACTGTACAGTATTGTAAGGTATTGTGGTATTTTTCACTACTCAAATGTCTAGACATGGGTGTTAAGACCTTTTCCCAGCAGATCTTAGAATTTGAGGTGAATTACCAAGTTGTGAGTTGTCAGCGACACTCTGAATGCTTGGTGGTATTTCTTTGTGGCAGGAAATGTCATGGTTTGAAAACAAAAGTCAACACAAGGAGCAAGTGTTGTCAAAAGGGCAACGCTTTAAACTCTTTAGGTCATTTTTGAAATCAGACGAGAAGAGTTGATTTTTCCTACCATCAGGTGTCAAGCTAGTCTAGACAGGTTATGTTAGAACACTGATAGTGGCGTCTCCAATGCTTTTGGCAGGTTTCCACTATTTCTATCACCAAAGGGGTGCAGTTTGTCATTCTGTCATATTGTTACCTTGGCGTATATTATTTCTACTTCCGGAACTGAAGAAGTTGTCAGGACTATTACCTCCATGCGTTTTGTAAAGGCTTTGGATGTCTGTTCTGTCACTTTGATGTGTTTTATGTCTGGCGGTGGAAGGTTGAGGGCAAGTTGCACCGGGTAGAGTTTGAGACCACATATGTTCTTGGCAGGTGTTCTGGCTTTGTTAGATGTTTGAGAAGAAAGCAAGCTGTTGGTGCCACGTTTCTATCTTAGGAACACTGGGACAGTTACTCTATTTGAAGTATAAAGTCTTTCTAGGTGAATACGGATCAGAATAATGAAATAGGAGATGTGATGAAGGTTAGACATCCAGGTAATGAGATATACAAGGAAATTGACACTCAAGCCACTGGATAGGTTTTGAAAACAATCAGACATTGCACTAGCATTCACTACTTTTTGTCCGTGATTGAAACTGGTACACAGGAGATGAGTACAGTATGTGAAAAAAAAGCTCTTGCTTGAATCTTAAAATAAATCAAAAGTTTGACTGTGGGGGCAGGGAATTTTGCCAATATGCATGCCACTACTCTCGACATTTTGTCAATATTTTCTGCCATGTTTCAGATAAGCTCCAATAGGATATAAATTCTATAATAAACCAGATTTATAGGAAAAGTTTTTGTTGAGATATTAGCTTGTTTGTTTAGGTGCAGTTGGTGGTAAGACCAAGTCAAAGAGATTTGTTCTGAACTACATTAAGAACACTGTTGCTGTCTGTAAGCTACCTGGATTTATAATCTGGTTGCCCAAGCTTAGATTATTTTGCAGATAGTTGTGGCTTTTATTCCCATTTGCCCACTGAAGAAGGAAATACCTGGACCACAGAAATTCCTGGGGTGCCAAAATTCCATGCCGTGAAAATTTAAGGCGAAACTTTGGTCCATTGGGAAGCTTAGATTATAGCAAAGGTAAAAATATCTATATGATTCCATGTTCGTAGTAACCATAATCTATGAATTAAAAAAAATTAATTTGTGTTATTGCTGACAGATATGGTATGTTTGTAGATCTATTCGTAAAGCTATCACCTATTGTAAGGGAGACTAGAAGCCACAAGGAAAACTTTAAACATAACTTCTGATGTCATTGCTACCGCCAGTATGTTTGGAATGTGTCTGGTCAACTTGTAACTTATACGCTTCACAGTACTACAAAATACCGTATTTTGACTGATTTATCGCATACGGAGAGAGGCATAAACATATCTTGAGTTTTATCAAGACTAGTAAAAAGGAAATGCTAACCAGTCGGTTGTAACGTTTGCAGTTTTATGTTGACAGTGCATAACGTGTTTTTTCTGTTTATTGGCCTGCCACTTGTGAGTTAATTCAGATTGTAGGAGATGTAATTGATTGAGGCTGTAAATTATGATATACCTGTCTATGTGCTAAATAAGTGACCTTGAGTATGCATTGCAGATGTGCCATTTCTTTTGCAATGGTAAAAAGCTGGCTTGCATTGGTTAATACTTATAGGACAATGTTAAAGGCATCCAATGCAATTTCAGGGTGTCAGAACTAGATTTTCAAAGTCAATTTTCTGGTCATTCTTTTAATGTACTAAGTTGAATCAACCTTGTCCCATAGCATACTGATATCTGTGAGGCACAAACGCTTGTTTTGTGTCACATGCAGGTTCTAGCTATTTATAGGTGGTACCCAAAAATAAAGAGACACCTCACGTAGCTTGTTTTTGAGCTATTTCAAATGCTTCAAGTATGAATTGATGACAAAAATGAGCTAAGAAATGGCAGTAAATGTCAATATCAATCAGACAGATTTCCTCATTCAGAATAGTTTACATTTTGCCTCCCTGAAATTGCGTTGGGTGCCTTTAAACCACAGACTTGAGCACATGGCCTCTCACAGGTCCAGTTGCCATTAATGTTGTGGCCACAACATTTTTCTAGTGGCAGGTGGGTGCCCACACCTTGCTGTTATGGTTAGCTGCGCTCGAGCAAATAACAGACAACCAGCCAAGCATTTTACACCACCCTGACCTACATTCTGAGCTTATAAAAGCCACGCTCGCAAGAAAGGAATCATAAATCCTGCATCTAAAACCCACTAACCCCTTATTATGGTCTCTCTATTGCCTCCCTTATTCTTATTAACAAGACAGGTGGAACTGGGAGTCTTAAAACTTAATGCTTCTTGCTACATTACTGCCATAAACTACAGAAGGAAAGCTTCTTGTTATTGATGATAACAAAACTGCTTGGAACAACATATTTGGGAGACAAGCGGTCAGAACTGGTAGAAGAAAAATAGGTGTCTGTTTACAATTGATCTTGCCTTTAGTTTGCACAAAGGGATGTGGGTCAGGTAGAGAGTCTGTCACGAAACGTAACACCTGTAACACTTCTTGAGACAGGTGTGTGTCTATTGTGTCAGCACGCATGATGAGCAGATTTATTGTCTTGTCTTATGTCTCTGTTTAGCTTCTTATATCCAGTACTTAGCAAGCAAGCCTGGCCATAACCGTTGTTATATCTCTTAGGGGACAAGGTCCATTTGGCTAGAGCGTCTAATCTCTTCCATACAACAGGGCTCGACATTAGTACCTTCCCCTTTTTGTTGCTAAGTCTTCGATCGCTCCTAAGACCTCATCGTTGTTGTCCTTGCTTAGAGCTCCGCTACAAAACGTTGCCTCAGAAAGCCATGGTAATCAGTGGGGACCTAACCTGCACCCAGGACTCTGGGCTAATTTGCGTGCCGACTGTTATATTGATGTCTTGACGGGTGACTTGGGGGATGGGTCGCACCAGGCGCCATTCTCGGGGCAGACTTACGGAGCCGCCGCGATAAGACTCTCTTGGAGACGATGGGGAGGCTTGTTGGTTTAAGGAGATTGTTTTCACCCTCCCAGAGCCTTTAGTTACTCTTAACCAAGTATGAAATGCACAGTGACAACAGTCTCCATTGGTCATACTGAGTTATGTATTCAGAGTGTTAAACACAGCCTTACATACCTGATAAAACTGCTTCTGACTGGCTTAGGGTCGCTGAGCTAAGTTCAGACCCAATGTAGCAATCTCAGTGAATTACCTGTGGAATTGTGTGCTTTTAGTCTGAATTTAGGGACTGAAAATAAATCAGTATGACTGGTTTATGAAATGGCAAAATAAAAACCACTTTGCATGATTCAGAAACAAAAGTATGCGGCAAACTTGGGGCGCTTTGGCTAGTTATATGCATTCCTTTTTTTCCAAATACACTTTTTGTAATGGAGGAGTATGTTAAAATTGGGCACATGGTAGCAACATATGACGACCCAATTACTTGTTTATCAATACAGTTTAATCAGTTACAACAAATATTAGAATAGGTCAGAGAGATTGCATAATTCTACAAATTAAATGAGTAGTCTTTGATAAAAATCAATTTTATTATGCTTATTGTCTCCAAGACTCCAAACCTTTGTCAGTTCTTGAGGTGCTTTAGATGCAGACATATGTCCAAAGCCAACACTACCTTTCTCTTGTGTTGGGGAGGTCAGAGGTCAAGGATGCAGTTGCAGTTGAACAGTTGCCAAGCATTCAAGTGTTGAGCTGGTCGGCAACTGGGTCAAAAACATGTTTTCATTCCTGCAACTTACCGGGTTAGATGACTCCAATAGTTAGCAGCAAATAACATTGAAGTGTCACCAAATACGGTGTGCTTTGTTGGAAAAAGTCATACAAAATGTTTATCCGTAATGTTGCAATGCTAAATGTTTTGGTAGAGTAACAAAGCAAAGAGATTTGATTTATTTTGCTGTTGTTTAGAAAAATCAGCCTAGTCAAAAATTCTAAATTGTATCAATGAATGTGATGCCAATTATGCTAGAGTACTCTAGTGTAAAGCAAAGAGCTTTTAAATGTGATGTTTAAGTGTGATGTTTTCGAAAATCATCACAATCAAAACTTATTATTATAACATAAATGTGATGGCATTTGTTATGTAAATCTCTAGTAGTCTGAATGTCGATATTTTGGAGGTCATAAATTTTTCTAAGATCGCAAACTTTTGCTACTGCGAACATAGAGTGATTTACAGTATTTCCTTGCAGTGAAAGTTAAGGTAGTTAGCGAGGCAGACATGTCCTGTCATGTGCTAATGATGGCCCCTGGGAAGCCGCAGGTTAGGTACGGGGATGCCCAGGACAAGCCGACAGGGTCCGCAGCAGTCCGCAGCACCTGTGCCGCAGATCCTGGACACTTCACAGGCTGCGGAAAATGGAGTCAAATGTAAGGCGACTCCCGATTTGACAGCGGGGCTGAGTGGGTGTCAGACTAGCCCAAGAGGAAATGCCTGGCATAGCACCACTATCTGGTCAGTAGGGACCACAAGGAAAGGGGTATAAGGTTTGCTCTTACCCATGGAATGACCTTTTTGTGGTTTACAATACCAACTGGCTTCACCAACATACCACGCTTGTTAGTAATGCTGTGTTTGTAAAGAAAAAGAGTTGTTTTGATTTCAAGAAAATCGGTTTCAATTGCATACCATTTTCGGTCGAT